TGCTAAACACTAAATGAATAAATATTATCCTTGTATGGGAATTGAATTCAGGTCTGCTACACGAAGCAGCGACAAGTCTCGCCATTATAAAAGGGACATTACAAAACAGACACTGGTCTTATTACGTTGAAAGTGTATGTCTATGTCTACAGCAAGCATCACTTGTTTTATATAATCTTTTTAACCCAAACTGCTGGGTAGGTAGACGTGCGTCTTCTCTTGTGCTCTCCAATACAGGTTCTCCACAAAATTTATTTATTTATTTATTGTACAGGCGCGATGTAAACGTTGTAGGAGATGTAATGAGCCTAACACTTGTAAGTTACTTATTTGGTGAAAAGAAAAGTATAATAGCTTTGTTTTGATCTCCTTGACTAACATGTTGTCTTGTCTGTACAAACTCACATAAAAACGTCTCAGCACTGAAGGGTTAGTGCAGGTGACGCATGTCTAGAGTTTTATACTCATGTTTCTTGTACGACGCTATTTTTTATACTCTTATTTTTTTTATGTCATTGTTTGAACGACAAATTTACAAGGAAGTTAAGCAAGTGTGTTTGCTTTAATTATGTCTGTGTTTCGTACAATAATCTGGAATCTACAGTAAATCTAAAACCCGGAGAAGAACTGATGTAATCATCGCATAACATAATATATCGGCATGAGTTGTATTAATGTATTTTCACAGAACCAAGCACAACATCTGACTAAACAAGTAAATACAGTTGCATCATGCCTACAATAAAACGGGCAGTTTTACAACTGTTGAGGTCAGGAAGTTGAACGAAACATTTCCCGAGTGAGAAGATAACGCTCCTGAACCACTCCGTTATCTCAGAAGTGGATCTTGATCTACGTAGAAAGCACACTTTAGAAGCAATAATAATCATAGGGCGTCTAAACAACAGACATAATATTTATTTTATAACATAGGATAATAGTAAAAAAGCTGAGAAAAAACAGACGTCTTTAAAGACCACAGTTTGACTGACCGGTTCAGTTGAATCCGAACGAAATAGCAAGCCACGGATCTTAATAAAGCACTGCATGTGTTTTACAATTCGTATTTGGAATAAGCTTACAAACAAAATATACTCACGTTTATGAGCCTTGTTCTAGCCTACCACTCGTGTGACAACAGCCCCGCTGATTTAGCTCAGAGACACGCACGCACGCGGTCTCACGCTCACACTCACACTCACAACTGTTTTGGCGTATCGGTGTAGCCTACATGAGGCTAACTGTCTCAAGCCCAAAGAAACAAGGTCAAAGAACCGAAAGGAAAGAAGAACGAGAGACACACCACCACGAGGAAAGTACAACGTCGAGCGAGGGAGAGGCCCGGAAGAGAGAGAGAGAGAGAGAGAGAGAGAGAGAGACCACTAGGCTAAACCTCAGAACCACCGGCTTTCAGCGTCAGCTTCGCGCCTTTGTGTGTTCGTTCCCTGAAAAAGATTCCCCACACAACGTTGATGCAATAGAGATCAAGGTTAGCTGGTGCTATTTATAGAATATCGAGCCGGCCTTCCCGAAATCAGAGTGGGGAAAACGTACGTTCACGTATTAGGCCTATCATAATGCAATGTGAAACCTTCGACCAGAGAGTTTAGAGTAGTAGTAACACTAACTAGTATTGTTGTAAAACCTAAGGCCTAGTGTAAAACCCTCTGCTTCGACCCTGCTGAACCTTCGAGTCGCGACACGACAAAGAAAGCAGCATGCTTTCTATACTGAAGTCACAGACCACACCCACCCCGCCCCCAGACTCCTTCAAAGTCAAATACACACCCTTCAAAATAATAGAGAGATAAAGTGATAAAAGGTGTGTGCACGTGTTGTTGTTGTGGCTGTTGCTGTTGTTGTTGTTGTTACTGTTGTTCCTCCACCTCCACCTCCTCCTCCTCCTCCCCTCCTCACATAAGTAAAGATTACGTTGCCTGAATGTTGTACAATTTATTCCATACAACAAGACACAATTTTGATCAAGATTCTAGGT